GACTAGGTCCAGAGAATACACATGTGGCTGTGGCCTCAGTTTCCCCCTCTGTGAAATGGGGACAGTAGCCAAGGACAGGTCCAGGAAGATCCAGCGGTATGGTGGCTGAGTGGACAGGAGCCCAGCCAGGTGCCCGAGTGTGGCTCGGCCATCCTATGTGAGGGCCCAGGCCTGGGTCTATGAGGTAGGTGATACCAATCGGCGAGGCAACAGCTGCCTCCAGGAGGAGGCCTGTCGATGGCAGATAGGCTGGCCGGGAGTATTATTCACGAGCCCGTCAAGCCCCAGGAACGTCTGGTTGGCATAGAAACAGGAGATAAGGGGTACAATTAATGGCATCGCATTCCCTCCTCCTTTCTTCCCCAACTGACCCATTTAAATTGCTGGCGGTGCTGGTGCCATGCTGGGCTCCCGGTGACCTCCGGGGAGGGGCTGGCTGGGCAGCCGGGACTAGGCCAGGCTCAGGCCCCCGGGTAGGGCTGGGTAAAGTCTCCCCGGAGACCACTCCTGCAAAGGAATGGCTCAGGAAGGAGGCCATGGGAGATGCAGCAAGGGCAGGGCTGGGAAACACCCCAGAGTGTCACTGCTCCCAGAAGCCCATTCTACAGGTGTGGAGATTGAGGCCTGAGAAGCCCAGAGTCAGGTAGAGAAGAGAGAACTATAAGAAAGCATCGTGATGTTCAGACATACTGGTTCAGAGTGAGGGGCCAAGCTGCCTGTATTTCAATTCTCGCTCTGCCACTTTCTTGGGTGAGAAACTTGTCCTCTTTGTGATTCAGTTTCTTTAGATATAAATGGCAATACAAACAGGACCAGCTTTAAGTTTATATGTAGTGTGGCACAGAGTAAAATCTGAATTAGCTATTATTTATGTTATTATTATTATTATTATTTATCAAATGAGCTGACTATGTTTCCTGAGGCCCAAGAATAAAGGAAAACCAGGAACAGTCCAGAGCCGGGTGAAGTCCCACTATCACGAGTGAGAGGCTGAGTTCTCAGGTGCACTAGAGCTCTGTTCAAGTCCAGGTTCAGGGGCAGGCACTGTGAGCAAATGCTTCCGGGTCTCTAAATCCTTTGTCCCCTTTACTCACTATAGCTCAATCCCCATGCTTCCAGGGTTGCTTGGGAGGGGCCAAAGCCAGCTGAAGGCAGAACTTAGTGCCTGTCAACAGGAGGCACAGTCACACCTGTTTTTCAGAGGCTGTGGAAGGTAAGGTAACCTGCCAACGGTGGCTCAAGTCAGGGGCAGCGAGGTTGCCACCAATCCCTTTTTTCCAGCTTCTCCGCCACCACAGCAGCATTTCAAGGTGGCCCCTGGGAGCCAGGCAGACTCCAGGTGCCTCCCACACGTGGAAAGAAAGTGTGCATGGCTCTGTGCAGATAACTGCGCTTACATTCATAAAAGCTCACACAGAGACCACCTCATTTCTTTCTGGGGCCTAACCCAGGCTCTCCTGGAACTGGCTCTCGCCAGAAGGCATAGCCAGTCCATCAGGTGGGCATCAGGCTGCTTCGGAGAGCAGGCGGGTGACTTTGAAGCTCGGAGTAAATGAGTCATCCTGTGGCCACCAATAATTTGTTTAATCAAACTCCGAGAATGTGTGAAAAACACCATCCTCTGTGACGGAGTTGGAGTCGCTGTTGGGGCTGGGACTGGTGGGGGCTGTCCAGCCAGGCAAAGCTCAGCCTCTTCTGGAAGTGTCTTCCTTGGCTGACCTCGGCTTCCACCTTGTATCTGGATCCATGGTCCCCAAGGGCTTTTCCACTATGAAGGGACTCTGTGGCCCCTGGATAGCCCATCTGACCTGGGGGTTCACTCCTATCTGCATTTTTTCAGAAAGGGAAATCGAGGCCCAGCGCTTCCCCCCCCCCCCCCGCCCCCACCTCATTCTTGCCTCCTCACACAGGCCATCCCTTCCCTAGAATCTCGTGACTCTCGGCCCTTTATTCCCCTCAACAGCCAGGAATCGTCACCCCATTTTTCAGAGTTGGAAAGTGAGGACTGTCCCCTGTCCCTGGCAACCCATGGCTAGCCTCTTCCTAACCCCCATTCTAGAAAGAGTCCCTGACTACCCATCTGTTCTCTACCCCTTACCTTGTCTTGACTTCCCACACTGCTCCCAGTCTCACCCACTCCCATCTCCCCAGTGTGGTGTGACCCAGTGCTTACATACAGCAGGTGCTCAATAAAGACATTCTGAGTGAATCAAGAAAGATGTACACATGTACACAAACCTTCTCCTAATTTGGGGGGCATGCTAAGAAAGAAACCAGCATACTGGGTCCCCTGGGCAAAACTCAGCCTGGGTAATAGAAACCACATTGGTTGTGTGTGTGTGTGTGTGTGTGTGTGTGTTTTCAAGTAAACTCCAAGCAGGTTACACCTCACACTTGCCAGGAACCACACCAACCCTAACATGATTCAAGAGGAAAAACACCCTATCTCCTGCTGGAGGTGCCAACCCCACCTCTGGCTGTCTCACACCATCTAATAGAAATCAGGGGCGGGGTATCCTCCCCACTCCTGGCCAGCACAGTCACTTTCCTTTCATTTTGATGGACTGTACCACCCGCAGGGGGAGAATAACTTCTTGGCAATTAAGTGTGTTTGGGATGAAAACTCGCCCAGACAGACCAGCCCTGGCGAGGACACAGGCCCACGGCTTCTACCCCTGCCCACGTCTGAGGCCCCCGCTCGCCCAGGAGAGACACCCCCTCCTCTCTGTTGTTGCCTTGAACCGGCGGGGCCTGGTGACCATAGATAAGGACTCTTATCGTTCTTGGCGATCACCATCCGGCCGACCGGCCCCGGCGTTTTATCTGAGCTCACATCGACCCGGGCGGGAGGAAAGCTCAGAGGGGTGGGGGGACCAGGGGTCCCGGGCCTCGTTCTGCCCAGCGCTCCCCGCCGGCTCAGCGGAGCCTATCGTGTCAGCCATCTGGCCGGCCAAGGCCGCGCTCCCTCCCGCCTCGCCCTCCCCCGCTCCCACGTTTGAAGTTAATAAATGGAAGCGCCTATCGCCGCCGCCATCGGTTACTCGCCTTATCAGCGCGGCACATCTATCTCTGCGCGGAACAAAAGGCACACAGAGGCGCGGGCAGCTGCGCCCCGGCTTTGGGGAGGGAGCGGGGGACGGCGGCCCCACGAGCTCAGCCTGCCCGCGGCCTGGCTGCAGGTGAGGCCGGTGCGGCGGGCACACAGCTGCGAGGGCTGCACGCACAGCCGCGGGCCGAGGGCAGGCGGGCGGGCGCCGCCGCTTGGTGACAATCAGCGCTCGCATCTTAACGCGCGGAGATCTGCCACGGGGAGGAGGCGGCTCCCGGGGCCGCGGGCTGCGGGGAGAGTGCCCGGCCCCGCCTCCCAGGCCCGGCCCCCACCTCTGCCTGGGTCTATGGAGCATCGAGGGCGGGCAGCGGGGGCTCACCCGTGTGCGAGCCGCAGTCCCCGTCCCTAAAGCGCGCTGCTCGGCCGACCCAGCTGGCCAGGGCGCTCGCCCCGCTCTGGGCCTTATCGGCACTGGCGATCGGCTCCCAACCCGCGATCTCCCTGCCCGCGCTATCTGCATTTCTCATCGCGCTGAAACACATACACATACGCACACACGAGAACAGACCGATCGGTAGCGCGCGAGGGAGGAGGGGAGGAAGAAACCAGAGAACGCAGCACGCAGATCGGGACCTGTGGGTGGTTTTAATACTTGAGTTGACTTGAGAGAAGGCGACTTTCTGAAAATAGGTCCCGCTTGCACATGGAGGGAGTCGGGTTACGGGAATCCGGATTCCTCCTGGCGTCCCCCTCCACCCCCAACCTCGGGAGTAGTAGACACTCCCCCAGGAGTTCGCGCAGTCGGCTCTGGTAGCAGTGGTCAGGCGGACAGAAGTGGCAGTGCCCACTGCCTGGGGCTGGGCAGCGGGCTGGCCCCGACTCCCTGTCCGTCTGTCTGGCCTGGGAGATGCGACCCCCGGAGGAAGTCCCGCGCCTCCGCCCTGGATGCCGAAACTCCAAGTTATTACTGGCGCGGGGCGGGGAGCCGCGCTTCCTGTGCACTGGCTCTGTGGCTCTTCCCGCAGCGCGTGGCCCCCAGGAGTGCGGGGCACTCTCACCGCCGGGGCATCAGCCGTGTGAACTCAGTGGCCACCGAGACCCCCGGGGAGAGGCCCTCAGGGCAGAGGAGAGAGAAACTTGGACGCGCACGGGGGCGACCCTGGCGGGGGCGGGAGGGAGAAAAGAGTCTCTTTTTTTGACTTGGAGGGGTGGTGGGTGTTCCCGTAGGCATCTGAGCGCGCCGTCTGCGGCCGGTGCGGCCTTGACCGGGTCGGACCTCCAAGAGGCTGTCTCCAGGCATGGAAGGCTGAAGTTGGATACCAGGGCTACAGGACACAGGGGTCTGAGTAGCTGCACGCCCCTGTCCCCACAACCCCGCAAGCCACGTGGCTCTCTGGCCGGCGGGAGTGGCAGTGGGTGGCAGCGCGCCCCCGCCACTGGACCATGCATTTCCACGCGGCCTCGGGTGTCCCCTCTTCCTCCCAGGTCTCTCTCTTTCTCCCTCTAGATACAAAGCCTGGGAGAGTCAACTGCGAGAGATAAGATCACAATTTCAGCCCGTCCCGACAGAGCGATCTTATCAGGATGGGACTTGCAGAATGGAATATTTTAAACTTTATCTGAGCCCAGATCGGGGCCGCCTTATCGCCGCACGATCTCGAGGGTGTGGGGGAGGGGTCCGCCACGAGGTGGGCGCGTCCCCCGCCACTCGGATCCCGACTGTTTGGGCGGACACCCCTCCGGTCCAGCCAGACCCCCGGTGCCGAGCCGAGACGCGGGGGCCCAGCCCGCCGCGGAGATTAGATTGCGGCGCGCTTGGCACAGAGCGCGGGGGGCGCGGCGCGGGGTGAAGGTCGCCGGCGGAGCGGGCAGAGCAGGGCGGGTGGGGGGCGGGCGGGGGACGGCGGGGGTCGGGGACGGCGGGCGGGCGAGCGGGCAAAGTTTGACTCACGCTTAATCTGCCGGGGATTGCTCTGTTTCCTTCTGGACATGTCTCCGGCGCCGCTTGCCCTCCCGGCGGCCGCCTCTAGCCCCTGGCGAGCGGCGGCGGGCGGCGGGGGCGCAGCAGAGCCACGGGACGGCTCATGCCCTCGGCCCCCGCGCTCCGCAGCCGCCCCGGCCCGCGCCCCCAGCCCGCCGCGGCCGGCTCGGAGCCGCTGCGGAAGCCGGAGGCTCGGCCCCGGCACTGCAAGCGCGCGGACCGCCGGGGCGGCGGGCGGCGGGCTGCTGCCGGTCCTCGGCTCCCGCGCAGACGCCGCCGCCGCCGCCGCCACCGCTCAGCTTTTCTCAATGGAACCTGCGGGCAGCACACAGCGAACCGGGAGGCCAGGACCCGGGCGCTCCGGGAGGGCGGGCCGGGAGGGGCGGGCCCTGCTGGTCACTGGCGCCGCGCCTCCGGCCCCGCCCCCGGCGCCGGGGCCCGCCCAGGCCTGCACAGGGTTGGCCCCGCCCCTCCCTCTGCGCCGCGGCCCCGCCCAGCCCCACAGGCCCCGCCCAGACTCCCGCCCACAGCCCCGTGTAGACCTCAGGCCTCGACTCCTCCTTCGGCCCTGAAGCTTTGTCCTTAGTCCTCTTTGGGGTTCGGCGTTCAATTCCTTCTCGCCGCTCCGCGGCGCGGCAACCGGCGTACTCCGGGCCTCTCTGGACCCGCCCCTCAGCGCTGGCCCTGCCCCAAAGCCTGCCGGGATCTGGTTTAGCTCCTGGACGCCAAGGCCCCGCCCCGACTCCGCCCCGGCGGCCTGGCTCCGCCCCGGCCTCCTATGGCCCCGCCCCCTACTGTGTAACACCGCCCCCAGGTTCTCCGGTTTGCGCGCTCCTAAGCCTAGGGACAAGCTCAATGCCCTGACACCTCACATTTGTCTTGGGTCCGATTTGAGGTGTGGAGCCAGCTCTGGCTGCTGGGGGCTTTCTTCCAAATCTCCGGTGGAGGCGATATCCCCAGGGTCCGCCACCCCAGTGGCCGAGACCCCCAAATGGAAAGCTGGGACCTCGGGTCCTCCTCGCTCGGACTGAGACCTGGCAGGAAATCTTGGAGGTTGCGGAAGCTAGGGGCCTGTCCCTGCCCCTCTCCCAGCAGTCTCGGTGTCACTCCTTCGGAGCCTCTCCTCTGCGGGGCGCCCTGATGGAGGCCCAGGAAGCCGGCCTCTCAGCCGGTTGAGTGAATCTCTGCGCCCCTCCCGCCTGGGCAATCGGAAAGGAGCGAGGGTCCCAGGGTCAGTACTGTCTGTTCCAATCCTGGAAATAGAGATGACCCTCTTGTCCTTTGGGATATGTTTATGGGATCCCAAAGGCCCCCATTTCCAGTGAGCCTTGCTCAAGGTCACACAACATTAGGATTGCCCAACAGGAGCACAATTGTATTCTTATATTTTAATGTTCTTGGCCTGAATTAGATGCCTGGACCCTCTCCCTCATATTCATAAGAAATAGGGAATTAGTAGGGCCCCAGGGCTACCAGGAAGACTTTTCGAAAGAGCCCCACCCACTTAGTGGCAGATAATCATCACCGCTGTCACATGCCAAGGCTGGCTGAATGCTGAGCCCTCTGCCTGTGAGACCCCCATATCATTCTGACTTCTGTTACCTTTGCCCCCACTCCATGGGTAAGGAGAAGGGTTATCCCTGGAGCCTGCCCTGTCACTACTCTCAGGGGGTCTCTGGGCAGCAGAGTGGCAGGCCGGCAGGAGGCTGAGGTCCACCCTGGGACCACTCACTGCCACTGGACAGACAGAAACTCTAAGGCTAGGAGGCCAAGAGACTTGCCCAGGGTCACACAGATTCCTACCCAGAGCCAGTGGGTATATCCTTCCTACAGCTGCCTGGTGCTGTACCCCCTCACTGAGGAGTTCAGGGTCCATGGCTGACTGGTTCACTCAGCCCAAGGCTCCCATAGTGTTTGCCAACTGAATGAGGCACCCACCTATCTGTGCTTCCCGTTGGGCTTTACTACCTTCTCAAAGATGGGGACTTGGGAGTCAGAGGGATTCTTGGAGGAGGTGGCTATGGGTTGTGTCTGGGGCTCCATGCACACCCAGGTGGTGCTGCTGAAATGGCTGGAGATCTGTTAAGGAGGATCGTGAGGGTCAGCAGGAGGAAGAGCCATGATCCATTGTGATATCTGTCTAGGGTGCAGGATGAGAAGCTAGGCATCACTTTGGCCACTTCTTTGCCCATAAACTGTGGCCCCAAGAGGAGAAACACATCCAAATCACCCAGAGACTTAGGAGCAGAGGCAGGTGAGAAACAGAACCTGCTGGCCAGAACTAGCTACATCATTTTTGAGGCCCTGTGCAAAATGAAAATGTGGGGACCCCTTGTTCAAAGATTAAGAATTTCAGGGTGGATAGAGCGTCGGCTTGGGGACTGAAAGGGCATGTAACTTGGTTGTGGGCACATCCCCAGTAGGGGGTATGCAAGAGGCAGCTGACCAATGTTTCTCTCTCATCAATGTTTTTAACTCTCTACCCCTCTCTTTCTCTCTGTATAAAATCAATAAAAAAATAAAATAAAATAAAAATAATTTCAGGGCTGCACTGAAACCGGTTTGGCTCAATGGATAAAGCGTCGGCCTGTGGACTGAAAGGTCCCAGGTTCGATTCCAGTCAAGGGCATGTACCTTGGTTACGGGCACATCCCCATTTGGGGGTGTGCAAGAGGCAGCTGATCGATGATTCTGTCTCATCGATGTTTCTAACTCTCTATCCCTCTCTCTTCCTCTCTGTGAAAAATCAATAAAATATGTTAAAAAAAATAATTTCAGGATGGCAATTTCTGCTGAGTGTTAAACCAAGTGAAGGATCTTCCCAAGAACTGGAGACCTCATGTACCTGCACAGGGCACAGGCCCATGAAGTGCCACAGCAGCCCAAACCCAGGTGAGAGCTGTTTCTGGAGCACTTTCCTTCTATACTTTTTCTCTCAACCTGTCCTGCAGGGGCTATCTGTACCCCATTATACAGAGGAGGAAACTGCCTGGCTGGTGATCAGTGGTGATGCCATAGGACCTTGAACACACTACTGTGCCCTCAGAGGAGGTCTGTTGATAATGGAGCTATATTGAGGAAAAAAGGACAAAAAGTGTTGTTGAAAGGAAGGCCTGGGTGAGTCCAGAGTGGGAGCAACTGCCTCTGCCTGGGGAAATCAGGGAAGGCTGTCTGGAGGAGGAGCGGGCGTAGGGCTGCTGAAGGTGTCTCACCTGGCCACCTCCATCCCCATGGGCCGCCCACAGTGAACTCTAATTTCCACCTGTCCCTGTGTGACTGTGAGGAGTGCCAGGATTCACATCCAAAAGTCATTAGTGGAGTAAACAGAATTACATTCAGTCTCAATGGGGGGCTATCAACACTTGCTGTGAAGTTGGGAGGGGCTTTGCATGGAGCAGGGCTGCCTTGGCCAAGGCCTGGCTGTTGCCCTGCTCACTGGATTTCAAGGCTGATAGTGGGCTCCCTGGAGGCCTCCCAGGAGGTTCCAAGGATGTCTGGTCCCAGGAAAGGCCTGAGCATGGCTCTGCTCTGGACGCCCATTCTAGGAGTGATGCCATTGTCCGTCACGAACATTTTCTAAGCCCTTTCTTTGGGCTGGTTCATATTCTTTCACGAAATCTTTGTGCATCCCTCTGCTGGTTACAGCCATTAGGGTCACCAGGCAGAAAGTGGCAGAGCTGGGCCTGGACACAGTGCTCAAGGCTCTTGTGGCAGTGATGAAGGCACTAAGGCCCAGGGTGGTCCTCCAGCTCAGAAGTGGCAGTTTCCTGTAACCCCAGGCAGGTTAATTCCAGAGGGGGGTGGCCCATGGCTGGACAGTTGCTATGGGTGGAGGAAGGAGCTAATTGTGGCATCTCCTGCATGCCAGGCCCTGCACTGATTGTTGGGCTATGACCAAGGAAGCCACAGAATGTTCTACAAACTTAAGATGAACATTGAAGAATAAAGAGGATGCTCAAAAAAGACTCATGGGAGATGAGCATTCTCAGCTGAGGGAAGAGTAGGTACAAAGGCAGGGAGGGCTGAGGGTGGGGTCTCAAATGATTCGGGCCACAGCAGACTATGGCACAGAGCAGGTCCCCAGGCCAGGCTAGATGAAGGGTCTCCGGACACCAGGCCCACGAAGAGCTTCACTGTCTCTCCACTGTTTACGACTTCATCTCTTCATAGCTCCAAAATGCCCCCTGGCACATCACCACCACCCCATCGTGCTCCAAGCCTCCCTCAGTCACCACCTTAACCACTGTCCCCACCCCACTGGTCCCCCAGAGCCACTCCTGACCCCTCTGCTGGTGAGACCTCTGCCCTGGCCTGCCCTGCTCTTACCCTCTTTTCTGAACCTCCTTGTACTAAAGTCCAGGTGTCCTACAGGCTGGGCCTTTGTGAAAGCTGGTCCTGCTGCCACATGCATCCTTCTCTCCCACTGCCTGGCACTTCCCTCCCACTTCCCTTCCTCAGGGAAGCCCCTGACTGCTCCCAGACAAGACTCGGCCTTTCCTCTCTGCTCCAGTGCTCTGTCATCTTACACTAGCAGACGTGAGAGAAATGTCACGGGGGGTTTCTCGGTGCCAGGCCCTGTGCTGGGCAGATCAATGCACCATCTGCTTATAATGGCTCTTTGAAAGACTGTTAGAATTTCCATTTGCCAGATGAGTAAACTGAGGCTTAGAGAAGTGAAGTCACTTGCCCAAGGCCGCACAGCAGGTACGTGGCAGAGCTGGATTCTCCCTAAGAAATCCACACCCTCTGCTCCAGAATGAACACTGGTTGCTGCGTTGGAGGGAAGAGGGCCCATCTATCCCAGGGCCAGGCCTTACTCAGCTCCCCCATCCCCACCCCCTCCCCCAGCTCTGCAGGTCAGCCTAAGGCCGCTGGGTAGCTGCATCAGGGGCCCATCCTGACATTCATCAACACTGGCTCTGTGAAGGGTTTAATTAACTTCCTGTTTCAATGGGGGGATAATGAGTTTTAAGCATCATGTGACTCCGTAAGGAGGTCAAAAGGCAGCAA